AAAAAGGATAAGATTGGGGTTTGACCTCAATTCTTTGATTTCGTCTCGGACAGAATGTTTGATGATCTCTTCTCGCAGCGTAGATACTGTTGACAGAGGTGCACTAGGGTAGTTTTGATAGTGTCTCTGGCCAGAGGCGAAGTGGGTGGTAATGCATATAGTTGGTGCATTAGGTTAACAAACTGCATTTCCATATGGACTTGTACACCGGCCGGTTGGATAAGGCAGAATTTTGGTCCAGGGATAATGAATGCCTCCAGTGAAGTTGACTCAACGGTATCCTGGACAGATTGTGCATATATCTTCCTGGATTGGGTAGAAATTTCGGTTCCGATTGCGTTGTATGCAAGCCTCTGGGGAGGCTTTTGTACTTCCTTTCTTGCACATTTGCGCACATCATCTGCACGCATTGTTTAAAAAATTTACTCTGGGCTGTATCAATCACTTCGACACTTCGTTGCTAAAGTGTACACAGTCGTTCCAGCTCAGTTTACATCTCCCATCGTCGAAGATTTCTGTCGCCGCCATTACATCCAACACCGCTCTCCGCCATACCATCTTCAGTCTAATGGCCATGTGAAGCGTTTCGTGGACACCTACAAGAGAGCCCTCTTGAAAACCCGTGGCGGACGATCGAGTAATGTCTTCAGACGTTCCTGATCTCCTACCGGATCCCACCAAATCCAGCAGCTCCAGGAGGTCAGTTTCCAGCCGAAGCATTGACGAGCCGTAAGCTGCGCACCACCCACGAAACGCTCATCTCAAGCGAAGAGCAGCCAACGCAACCTGCTGTCTTCGTCATTCGCAGTGGGTATGTAGCTGGAACCCCGGTTTACGTCCGTGACAATCGAATAGATCGTCCAGGCTGGAGCGAGGCAACAGTTACGACCCGTCGAGGTGGTTTGCTGCATGATGTAGTCGTGGACGAGGATAAGTGAGTCCGCTACCGCAATCAACTTCGGGCGCGACACGGAGAATCACCTAGGTCAGCCAGTCGGTCCGTACACATGCCGCTGCATGCTGTGCTGAACACCTTCAGCATTGTAGCAACAAAACTGAAGTCGGTAGAAGTCATCCAACCACAGCCAAGTCTCAACAACTCTCGTCGCCGGCAAACAGGATGAATCCGTAGATTGCCAAAATTGCCCCCGGTCAACCTTTGTCAGATATGGTGTAACCTATCTTAAAGGAGAGGTTATTGTAACGCTTCTTCTTTGATCTCTGCCACTGACAACCATTGTACTGCTGCTTTGCTTCCCTGTGAGACTGCGACTGTCTGACTGCTTAGGCAAGCGCCCAGCCAACCGAAAGAATACAAAAGGCCAGAACTCGGCAGTTAGAGAGTATATCTACAGGATATGTTAGCTCCATTTATTGGTAAACGAAACATGCTAAGTTGGGAAACAAGGTCACGCACTATGTTGCATCTGGTTTTCAGCCAGTGTGAGTGAGTTCTGCTCCACCGGTTTATCATATTGACGGAATAGTTCGATTCCTTTGACGCAGGCTGGTATTTGCTGGTCGGTCAATTTTCACTCGATTCCCAAATTCAGCGGAAAGATGAAAGCTCGTAATACGCCCGTGCTGAAGACCTTTGCATGTAGCGGACAGCCTGTGCTCCGCTTACGTCTCCATTGCCTCCCCTTTCGAAGTGTGTACGCCAGCATACCGTTCGAACACGACTTTGTTCACAGGTTTTCACTTTGGGATCAACTTGTAGCCATGGTGGTCGTCTCCGCTTTCGGATCGGCCTGCGTTGTGCGTCATCTGCTGGTTGGATCTTATGTTGTGATCCACGTAGCCGCTCAGCTTTGTCTTCCAAACAAAACTTGTTCAACAATATGTCACATGGTAGAGATGGCGGTTCTGGGGGGCTTTGAGTCTTGTGATTCTGGTCCAACTGATTGGCGTGCCTGACCCTTTTCTCATTTCCTACCATTAGCTCGTGGATGACCCAACCGTTTCTGCGGATCACTCTTCCTGTCGACCACCTCCTCGGTCCTCGAAAGTCTCGTGCGTACACCATGTTCCCAATTTGGTAATGATGCACGCTGTCTGTCCGCTTTTCCCCGCATAACTGCAATGCTTTTCTTTCCTGCTTGGATAAAGGCGCTTTGCCCTGGATACTGGTTTAGTGACTGACTTGAAGTTCAGGGCAGCGCTTGTGATTCTTCAACATTCTGGACCTAGTTGGAGTATTGCTTCGTGGCGTCCATTCATCTGCCATTGATTTCCACCGTCGCATCCTCAGGTCTGATGGGCACATCAGATAGTGAACTGGCAGTGTGGCAGAAGTGTTGCTCTTCCCTGGCTTCCGAAATTGAGACCACATTTGTACCAGGATTCAAGTTGAGCAACCTCTGGCATTCTGGAACAATTTCTTGCGATTTCAGCTTTACTTTCGATTCCCATTCTTTTAATTTTGTGATTTTAATTTGCGTGACAGCAGTTCGAGTAAATGCCTTTGTGACTTTTCGAACTGCGACTGCTGCAAAAGTGCCTGCAATTGTTCGAAGCTGACTGTCATTCTGGGTTCGATTGAAACTCGCGTCGCCACTGTTGTAAGGGTTCCAGGTGGATGTGTCCCCTGGATAGGTGGCGACGTCAGTGAAAAATTGTCTGCATATCATATGGCATAGATACAGCCGCAACAAGAGAGGTGTTGCAGGAGCGCCAAACGACTCCAGAAAATTAACACACCACCGCCCGCGCGGAGCGGGACGAATTTCCTGGTCCCTAACGCAGTAGATTCAGGGCTAACGCCGCGGGCACAGAATTGAAGATGTTCTTTTTTGAATCTCACGACGTAGTGAGTTATTTTCCCTACAATCAAAGCGGCGTGCTGATCTCTATTCGCCTTTACTTAGTCGGAACAAGCACTTGCAAAGGTCTGTCTTCTTCTGCTCTTGCGCGCGCGACCAGATGTGCGTCAAATAATCGGCACAGCCGTGATGCACCAGTCAATCAAGCGGCAGGACTTCGGTGTGTGCGGCTAATCGTGACTAAATGTCCGGAGGTGTTGCAATCCGTTCGTCTGTCTATGCGGGGCACAGTTCGCGAGGACAATTTACGCGTCGATTGGGCTTACCTACGAGCGGAGCTTGGCGCGCCGCGTCACCGAACGAGGTCAAATTGGTTACTGGCATCGAATCCAGAACAGGGGGGAGCCGAATCTATTACCGATCGACGGCGACTTTATTACAGATCTGTGATGTTTCACACCAACCAATTAACTTTAAAGAAATTGTCGCTCATCAACAGGAAGACCCTGAGTTCCAGAAGGTGAGATTGTGTCCGTTTATTAAACTGTCTCTTCTGCTTCTTCCCAACTCGGATTCCAGTATCTATTGTGATATTTCCCTAGAAAAACCGAGTCCATTCGTCCCGAAGCGATATCGAACGCGCTCGGATACCCGACAGTGGGCGAAACACTGTATCACCTGTCAGAATAGCAAGATCCAGCGCCACACCATTACCGTCCCCGACACAGTCTCGTTGCCTGATGCCCGCTTCAAACTGTCCATCTTGATATCCTTGAACCTCATCTTCCATTCAGCGGTTTCACCTATTTACTGACATGTTAATCGCTTCACGCGTTGACCCCACACAGTGCCACTACCGGACTTTTCAGCCGAAACAGTAGCCAGAACGAGCATCGGAACGTGGATGTCCATGTTTGGCACGCCTGCCACTTTCACCACGGACAGTGGGCCTCAGTTCACCTCTATCACGTTCCGTGGCCACAACTGCATGCTTGGTTGTTCGCATCTACACCAAACGGCTTAACACCCGGATGATAACGTGCTAGGCGAACGGTCAGTGGTCCGAGTGTCTACCGATCATCCTCCTCGACATTCGTAACACTGTAAAGTAGGACATCGGTGGCTGTCCAGATGGATTAGTCTTTGGCATAGCAATGAGACTTCCCGTAAAATCGCATTGGATTCAAGTCACCGGCGAAGTGAACCTTGGTTTTTATGTTGCATGGTTGTAGCAACACTTTATTGTCGTACGCCCAACGACATCTTGACCTAACTCTCGAAGTCAGTGGATTCACCCCGATTTCCGCATTTGTCCGTAAACCGGTAACACCGTCTTACGAAGGTACTTCCAGATTCTTAGCGCATAAGGAGAAATAGGTATTGGACAGGAATAAAATAAAGATTCCATTAGCATCGACCTACTAGTGTCCACCCAAGTCTAACTGCAGTCGCCTCAACAAAATACCGACACTTGTATTTTTAAACAGACTCCGCTTCAAGGCACCCTTCCCAAGCAGTCGATGAGTGTCCCCAGTGTTTCCTCCTCACATCCACACTTGTCACAAACCTCGAGATACCTAAGAGTACCCCCCGGACGTACAGACATTATTCCCTCCGGAGTTGCGACTTACGAATGCTGGCACCTGTCCAGCGTTCGCCCCTTTGATTCATGCTCTAGGGGGAGAGAGTTGTAGTGCTTATGCATTTCCCCTTTACCCCTGTGCTTTCTTGCTCCTCTTCGCATCATTTAGTGCAATCACTTTTAATCAACTAAATCGATACACTCCACTAAGAATGTGGTATCGCGTTGTTGCTCCGGTCTGCTGCATGTTGCTTCTTGGTGTCTGCTCGGTGTTGTGACCTTCGCCCAAACGGCTAGTAACTATCACCTTGATAGAGCTACGCTATCCGCTGGATCTTAGCGCTACTTTGGGAATCACTCGAAGTCGGAAGCCAACCAAGGGTCAGCGACTGTTTCTTCCTAGATGGACTGAGTTCTGAGAAGGACAACATTTTAGCGTTAGCTCGTTCACCACAAGTTGCCGCAATCATGGATCATCTTTCCAAGCAAGTAGATTGCTCAACGCCACCCGCTACATATTCGCCGAATAACTCTAACGTCTCTCTACATCCACCTAAACTATGGGTGACGATCAACTCTGCAATGCAATGGGATGGGGATAAAAACGATAAAGCTGTCCTTTCGTACGATAATCGTTCCTGGTTTCGAAAAATATATCACGTGCGAAAGCATATTATTGTATTCATTTGTTTATCTATATAAAAAGCGACAAAGGAGAATTGCACGAAAAAGTACAAAAGAAGGTACAGGATTAAAGTTGACAGTCAGAGAACAAGGGTATGTAGTTACTGAGCTAAAATGGCGTACTGGGCGCCCTGTGTGTCTGATGAAAGATGCACTGTTACAACAATCCGTAACAAGCACGGTCGAACGATACTATCTAGATCGAGCGATATCAGTAAAATAGCTGATCAAGTCTTCAATTGTGAATTCCAAGGCTAAGCCGGAGTCAGGATAGCACTCACTGATTAGCACATTGAACAGCTGGCATTGTTCTAAAAATTGAGCCTGAATAGATCGCCAAACCACCTGAACAGAATAAAACGAAAAATAGACGAGTCATAAGCTCTAATGGAATGATTTGAGTGGATACGTCAGTAAACTGTGCTCGCAATTAGAGAAGGTAAGTGAGGGACATGGTAAAAAAACGAAAACTTGAAGTGCAAATGAGTGCAATTGTGCTAGCTCCCATAAGATATAAGGCTGTACGTGGTGGGTAGGAGATGCAAAGTCGGATGCACCAAACATTGGGGTCCAGGATGCACTTCGTTTGCAAATCATGCGCACAAACCCCAAACTAATCTGAATACTCGACGATGAAGCATTTCGATAGTAAAAGTAATTGAACATCACATATGTGCAGTCTATGGCCATCGCCGATGTGACACATGGTAGGTTAGATGTGCTTTACATTAGCTTAAAAGTGATGATTCGTAGTATGATTGTCCACACAGTGGGTAGGTAGCCAGAGCTCATCTTAGCTACAGCTACATCTAACTGAGAAGCGCGAACAAGGTAGAGGCCAGTGTTGGAAGCAAGTAATATTGAGAATCTCCACTTCACATCTGATCCTAGCGACCGTAGTCAAAGGGAGTGCCTGGAAAAGCAAGACGTGTTGGCTTACTTAAAAGTAAATTGTGGTCCAAATTAAGTGTGTGCATTGCAGTGAAAACAGACGCTGGATGTTCCAAAAAACAATTGTTCGAACAAGAATTAGCACAAAATTGGAAACTGACTGTTTATCTAAAATAACCAACTCTTGCTTATGGGTTCCTAATAAAACCAGGTCACATCAACCAGACCAATAACGTATACCTATCTATTAGACATTTTGGTTCAGTGACTCACCGCGTGTAAACCTCATGAGTCCATCTTAGCCTGCTTAGCTGTGGTCGTAATAGTATGATGAGGAACCACTGAAAACAAGCTTGTTCGCTGTCTTCTATTCCTGTTGTCTTCTCCGGGAATTATGACTCAATTAAAACTAAGGCGTCGAATATTTACTCAGTTCCCATCGGAACAAAGACAATGCTCACAAAGCTATCATGTTTCTAAGCTCGATAAACAGCACGACGCAGTGTTAATCAATTATCGGAAGGATGATATGCTAGGTGCGGACGTAACAACGATATTCCGACCGCAATCAGCAAGAGTGGGTGAGAGAGGAGACATTCCTCACGATGTTGTTTTATCTGCTTACCGTCGCTCTTAAGCGGCCATATGAGAATGCACATAACACACCAGCTTACACTGCTTCTTGTAAAGCAATATTAACAATTTATGACGCGGCTACAGATTCAATCGGGGGATCAGACTAATCCAAGTAATACTCTTGAAAAAGCTAGAAAGACGAAAAGCGTAACAAACAATTAGTTCCTGGATTTGATTTGTCTACTCAGCTCATATCGTATTCAGGAAAACGAGTAAGTTGGGTCGAACTGACGCTGAATAAACTAAGCAAAACTGAGTTGAGTCGATGTATATTTCACCATGGATTCACGTAGACAGGGAACAGTTTAGTGTCAGAGTGATAATTCAAAGATTAATCACACCAGATGACCGGGCAATGAATTATCCATCACGAAGAGATGGGACCTTAAGGTGGTGCGACGGTGATTGGAGCCGCAACATTACCTTCATGCAGCGCAGGTAGATTGCCGATTAGAGTATGAGAAACAATGAATCTAAAATTATTTTGCTAAGCTGTAACTAATCTGTCAGTTCGATATTGATGAAGAAACCATCTTGCATAGCGGTAGCGAGGGGTTAGTGAACATCAAAAAAGATAGATGCAAGTATATCTAGAGAGGATGATAGAGAACTGCAAAAGAGAAGGACAGTATCTAGGCAAATACTACCTGAAATAGGTTTCCCTCCTCGGAAAGATGTTTCTCCACTTTCTTGCACAAACTCTCCAACCCTCGTTTGACCTACAGGCATAAAAAGGGAAAAGCATCAAAGTGCAATGGGTAGTCACCGTACCCCAGTGGCCCTGAGCATTCCTGGCAATACGAGTAATGGCCGATAGAAATGTAGCGGATATAATGTTACATAATCAACGGATTCATGTTTCTCAAAAAACGCGGTCTCAAAATGTGTGAAGCCACTACTAATGTGTAAAAGTAAGGTGATATTTTAAAAGACCGCCAGTAATCCATAAAATTGGTTTCCTTTTCGCGCAAGATATATGGAAAATATCAAAAAGAAGTAAACACTGAAATAAGCAGGAAGCAATTCATCAAAGCTGAATGTGGCCAAAAGTGAAAGCTAGATCGACAGTTTGAATGGGAGTCTGCAACCAGAGGGACAAGACGAATTATGTGACGAAGCAAGTAAGTAAATTGCAGCAAACGAACGAATCAGATAATTGGAAGTTTACGTGTCTCCGCCTCTACGCGGATTGGTTAATAATTGGTTGCGCTGGAGTGAGTTTGGTAGACCGAAGTAAGGAGAGAACCTCATGAACGCAGGAGTGTCGTTTTTATGAAAGCGACTCAGTTAAATACATCGAGGATTCTACAGGCTAGTCATGCTGTTATTTTCTCCGGGATAGCTTTGTTGAATAATCCGTGGCAGGAAAGGCCGATGCAAGATCACCGAGTGATGCTCAGTCGCAGATTGGAGCGCAACCAGCCGTGCAAAACCTGTTGTGTATCAACTTGGCTAGTAATTGAGGATTTTGGAAGAGCGTGGGAATCGATTTATGCGTACTGGTGCGTCTAAACGAACAACCGATGGCGTATCCCCTTGCAATGATCCGACAAACAATTGGAGATGAAGCACACCGCATGCTGGAAACCATGCAGTACAAAAAGGACGGATACCCGGCTGCTCTGGAAACAATAATCCGAAAACTCGGTAATATCTGTGTTGAACGATGCGGTAAGAAGACGAAAGCTGGTAGATGCATGCATTTCGTATTGTCTCGTCAGTACCATTAACAATAACTGGGATACAAGTGCATAGGTGACTATGGGTGTGACCAAACAAGCTTGAGGTGCAAAATGAATCACGGAAGTTCCATCCCAATGTCCATGGCAGTTTTAAGCTCACAAATAATTGTTTTTGAACACACAGGGCTAGCTTCATCCGCCTTATTGCCACAGCTTCGGCGAAAAGGGGGAAGCGAAGATTAGGGTAACAAATAACAAAAATACGACATGAATCCTACGTAGACCCTAACGACGCAGATGCTCAATGTGGACGTTCTATATTCCGACAGTCGAACACCATCGGGATGAAAGTGATGTAGTAATTCTCGCACAACATTTGGCGGTAGCGAAAGATGGCCTGAAAAAATAAGGCAACATAAGGGAGCCGGACGCGACGTGCAAGGCGTGGAGCTGTTCCCAGGTGAACGAGTTCTTGACTTGGAGCAAGACGACATTGGCCTTATCTGTGACAGTTTTCAAACGTGAAAAGTAGCACTGGACAAATTAGCACTGACTGTCATTTCGGGCTTTGCTTTGCACCCTCGAAATTCAAAGTCCTCGTCCAAGATTAGCAGGGACCCACCCCTGTGCTAACCCTTGGTGGCCATCAGCTAGAAGTCATAAAGAAAGTATCTAGACAGCTATATCAGCGCGTGTGGAGTGGAAGGTGAGGTCACAAATCGCACAGTAAAAGCTCGAGGCCATTTGCCAATCTCCGTCACGTGTGGCGTCGGTGAAACATCGCTCTCGCCCTGAAGGGCGAAGTGTACAATGCAGCCGTTCGTTCAACCCTACTGTATGGTTGCGAAAACCGGTCCATCAAGTCGACTGACAGAAATAGCCTAGTTACGTTCGATTATCGCTGATGGGAGCAATTCGTGAGCAATGGGCTTGTTCGGTGGTGTGTATTTGGTGCAGGAAGATCGAGTAACCGCTCGGCACCGTCATATTACAAATCAGGCTCCGATGGCTGGGCCCCGTGTTGCGCATCCCAGCACACCGACTCCCGCATCGTGCGTTGTCTGCGCGCCGGGTGTGGGGATGGAAGGAGAGTAGAGGTGCCAAGCGATGAGTTGGTCAAGAAGAATGAAATCTCTCACGTCGAAGTTGCCGTCCATTGGTGTGTCCCGACGACCTGGATGGCATTTGAAGGACGATGAACACATTTGGTTGGATAGATTAGTTTACATGGCGAGGAGCCGACCTCAGTGGCGCTTGTGTAAGGAGTTTCCTTGTACCTCCCTATCCCGCTTGTCTTCACCCTCCAACCACGATCTCGTTCTTGCCGCATAATATGTTACTAAATAGTGCGTCGCCTATTTTTTGCACTCTACAATTTTCAGCATCTTGCTTTTTCGTATGTCTTATTTTTAGGTACTGCGGCACAATAGTTGAAGTGTGTTTCTCAGCTTTAGCTAATGTGTAATGGTGATGACAATGACTTAATCCTTCGGTCAATGGCCCTTTGAGTAGGGCCGATTTCATTGGAACCGTCCCGTGGATCTCACAGTAATTTCTCGATAGATGCACGACGGATGATCATCACAGCAGATAAGCAAAGTTGCGTGAGGCTGTCTCCTCCGATCTCGCGCAATCAACCAGAACCGACTGCTAATAGGATAGTACAGTATACTAGTGTCCGAATCTAAAACTCGGAAAATAGCTTCATATCAAAGGACAATCTGGTATACCAGAAGGCTCCTGACCTATCCACATTAGGATTGCAACGTAATTTCACTAACAGACTTGGTAACATGAGCTGTACATAAATTGTACGAATAAATAGGAGTCATTCGCTGCAATCCTTTCCTCACCAAATACACTATTCTGTCGGGTAGCCCACCAGCTACCACCAAGGCTTGTGCAAGCGCAAGAATACTGCACCAAACTTGAAAGTCTTTTCGATCAGTACTCGATAATAAACAATGAATTTTTCCAGCATGGGCCGATAAATAAAGAGCCAATGGGGAAATTTACACAAAAATTTAGCGATAATAGAAATTGTACATCCCAAATGCGGCAACACATACTGCCGAACTATGACCTTACTGATGCAAAAAATATGATCACGACTGCATTAGAAGAACAGCCACTCATATAGCTGTGAAACGCGAAATGTTGAGTAATTTAATTGTAGTAAGGAATCCCATTGGTAGATGAAAACTCAATGTTATCAAGTGAACATATGTTTTCAATAATTCTTTCTCAGGCTTGTACAATTATATGCAAAAAGCGATCGAGAAATAGATACAGTACAAGGACCGGTAAAGCACTCAGTTTACGGTCACTGTTCACTGTCAATCACTGCTCCATAGGACACCGTTGTAGCACGTGCACAATTCCTTGGTTTGAACGGAGCAGTTCGTCTGGGCCAAGTCAAGCACAGCGTATGAGTGAATATTTTCTGGACTCACAATTCCGGCTCGTAGTCTGATCGCTAAACTCCCGGCCGATTCAAGGAAGCGCTTTCGAACGCACTGATTGATTTTCAGATGGTCGATAGATGATTCTGAATGCCCCGGCTAGGTTGGGGGGAACTGTCCGTGTCCGCAAGAGGTGTGATTGGTTAGCGTTCGGCATCCAGTCACAAGTCAGGGCGGATGGTGTTCTTTCACCCTGTCAGACAGGTGCCTCGTCGTACGGCCAATATATCCTGAACCACAGGAACTAGTGAATGAGTAAACACACATGGAATTGCCGTGGACAGGCCTTTTGTCTTTTGGGTTAGTTTTTGCCATCGGGCTACTGGTGAAGTGAACCTGCATTTTGGCTGCTGGGATGGTGTGCCTGAGAGCGTGAGAAATACGACGAGTCAGAAGTTCAGTAACGATTTCACCTTTGTACGGTAATTGTAGAAAAAAGTTTCTTTCTGACTGTGAGAGTTACAGGAGCTTCCCTTTGCTCCATGTTGGCCTCAATGAGGCAATCCGGGTACGCATTTTCCTTCAGGGTTAAGCGTTTGCGTTGCAGTTCCTCAGAGAACATGTCATTTGAGCAAATTCTTTCCGCCCGACTCGGTAAACTGAAAATCAGGTTCCGTTTTGATCTAAGTGGAACAAAACTAGGAATTCGTGTAATGTCCGTTCTAAGTACGTTTCCTATGCACACGACCCTTTAGCGCACCATCATCGAGTCGCTTTATGGCCACATCGAGGAAATGAAAAGAGCTATCTTCCTCCACTTCAGATGTAAACTTTAGCACTGTGTGCGCTTGATTCCGTGATGTTTCGAAAGGAATGGAGCAATATAAAGATGTCATCGATGTAACGGAAATAAAGTCTAAGGCTTTTGATGACCGATCTTAACGTGCTCTGCTCTAGCATGCCCATAAACACGTCAGCAAGAAACGGCCCTAGTGGGGAGCCCATGGCAACACCACCATGCTGCTGGTATATTTCCCTGTTGAACAAAAACTGGATGTTGAAGGTGCATCGGAGCAACAGTTCCTTTAGGCCAATGCCAATGATTATCTGATTCTAATCAATATAATCACAAATGTAATTAAGTTTCAAATAGTGGCACGTTAGTGAAAAGTGAAGAAACGTCGAGAGAACATATTTCGATCACGCACGACATCTACGAACTCAAAACTGTCATTTAGGCTGTGCACAGCAACCTGCTTTCGGATAGTCTCCAAAACCTCAACGAGCCACCGTGCAGTGGTATGGTACGGAGAGTTCTTCATGTCCAAAACTGGTCTCAGAGGAACGTTAGGCTTATGTGTTTTAGGTAGACCATATAGCCTTGGAATCGCGGTGCCTACGGGACGTAGGTTTTCACAGTCACCTTCACAAATAAAGACCTCATCACGGAGGTTTGTAAGGCGGTTGCAGATTTGATTTTCGATTTGCTTTGTTTTGTCTTTCTCGCCCAAGATTTTGGAACACTTGGTGTCATGTGCCAATATTGCATGCATTTTCCGAAGATAGCCTGTTTTATTCAAGACAACTATTCCCGCACCTTTATCGGGTCGAGTGAGCAAAATATTTTCGTTCCCGACTAGATTGTTTAGGGCCTGAACATGATCCCGTCTCACCGGGTTTTATGCGTTAGCCGTGCTCGGCGATATTTATAGCAAGCGTGCACCAGCAGCGACTTAAACTCTTAGTTGCGAATCTGATGACGGAGACAATTGTGAAGTCTGTCTGTATAGATTTTCAAATTGGGATACAATTGTTAATTTATTGTCCCTTCTAGTAGGGAGACAGAACTTAGGGTCTTGCAATAAGACTTCCATTGTGGTACGACCAAGTGTCATGCAAGGTAAATTGTATACGTACTTTTCAGGTTCGGTATGGAAACACATTGTCGGCTTCTCTCCTTTTACTGTCTTCGAGAGCGAAGTATGCAGCTTTGCGTCTTGTTTTCTAATAATTTCGTTAAACATCTCTAGTTCCACGCGATTTCTCCCTGGAAGACTGTTTATTACAGCAGTTAATTGTCTCAGGCCAAGATTTAGCTCGTCTCTCTTAACATGTGTGGCTTCGATCTGGCTGAGCGCAAGACGCCTAGGAGGGCAGTGATTGACAGTAACCAGTGACTATAAAGTGAGTGCTTTGCCGGTCCTTGTGCTGTGTCTATATTCTTGGTCGCTTTTGCATATAATTGTACAAGCCTGAGGAGTTATTGGAAACATATGTTCGCTTAATTTAATTGTGTAAGAACACGGAAGCGAGTAAACAATAACAAAGTTGCTGCAGTAGTTTTGTCCAGCGAAGCAAGCAAAGCGCTTTCATGCGCAAGTAGTGATCACTTAGCAACTCGGTGATCGCCTGTAAGGAGATAGACAAGTCAGTAGGCTTATAACCCGAAGTCCATTAAAAATAGGCATGCGGATAGTAAGTAGGCAAGACCATGGTCTCTGAAATATAATAGTCATCCATTTGACCGGTGGTTGTTAAGCAGGTTATACCTCTGCACAGATGGACTACTCAAGAGTCACGATAGTTGGTCTAAAAGAAAGTTCAGATACGTAACAGACTGGCTAAAAGATGGCGCAACCCAAAGTAAATGTCCATTTGTTGAGATGCAACTTCCAATTGTACCACATTGAGAGTGAGAAAGGTCAAACTGTGTTCCGGACGATATGTAATATTGGGTGACGGAAAGACATTCAGCTTGGTTGGTCACGTATGGGTTCGGCGCCAAGGAGTGGATTAGGATGAGCTGTCAGGATGAGATGACTGTAAGGCGCCTAGATGGATAATTAACCTCGCACGGATAAAGCATTTGCATGGTTACGAGAGAGAAGCGATAACGCAAGCAACAACCGTGTGTTTCCGCCTAGCATAGTGGCGAGCTTCGCCGAAGCCCAAGTGAAAAACAAGGAGACCGCAACTCACCTCTCGACCTGGGTATTCACGGATAACTTTTTTAAGCTCATGCTTCGAAAAAGCGAACTGGTACTGGATTACTTCTGGTCGGATTCCAGCAGTGAGAGCCGCCTGAACGCCTTCGAAAAACGTCTGAGTTAATATGAAAATGTAGTGATAAAAATATAAAAGAGTTGCGAAGAACCGTGTGAAAAAGAAGCAAAAATGATGTAGGCTATGGTGTACAATATGGAGGCTTCTCATGAAACCACATAAAGAAAGAGCGTACAAGACAGAATTGGTTGCCCTGATCATCTGTCGTTCTCGATTGGACGCCAGAGTAGAGAACATGAAACCAGCGTGGTTCAGGTTGTCGCCTGTCCTCTCCTTAACCCCCTAATGTGGTACGTGGCGAAAACACTTCAAACCATTTCCTTTGCAAATGCAACTTAGAGTGCACATATTTTTTGTCAGTGCCGGTGTTGGCATTTTCGGGACGTAAATTGGATACTATCTGTATACAAATTCACCGCACTTATCGTTTGATCTGAAGCTACAACTACTTGAAAGTAGTGTGTGAACGTAGGTTTGACGTGAATTGTGGTTCACAACTCCGAAAACCTTTACAAAATTGGAGGTAAGTTATGCGGAAACAAAAATATTTACTCACTTATCGTTCACCGCTACTACTAATTTACCAGAATGATTTATCTGAGACGAAAAGTTTAGAAATTATTAGCAATAGTATGTATGATATCGTGTGTAAATTTTTCGCTACATTCGGCACTATTGGTAGCATATGAAAGATACCGTGTTTAGGTTCATTGTCCTATAAATGGAATTTCTGTACATCGATGTCAAAGTTTCAGCCTCTATCAAGCGGTTGACGAGTAAATGGTCCCATTCAAAGGGAGGTCTAGTCTGAAGCAATATAGTCCCAAGAAAGCATACAAATAAGGATAAAGATCTTTGTGATTTGAGATAGAATAGGACTTGTGCATTCATTTGACATGTTCACACGGAATATGGATCCTATCCCTGGCGAACCTGACATCGGTAGAAGTGGAGACATTGTTATACAACTTGCACAAGTTATTCGGGCCAATGACAACACTGCTTTACTGTGATAACATCTCTTCTTCACTGCATTTATTTGTTGCGCTTGTGGAGAAGGAACAGTACAGCAAAATCAGCTACAAGGGTGCCGTTTCAGTAAAGACGCGGACAAGAAGTAGGACAGAGGGACATTTGAAGAAAAGAGTAATTGTTGACAATTTAGAAGCAAAGTTGTCAAATGGTTTGACAACAGAGTAACTTTGTTGCCAGCACTTCTTCCAGTGCCCAAGCAGTTTGTAAGACTCAAAGATGGGATAGAAAACCGAAAGCAGAAATATCCGTGGAGTGTTCAAGATTCAAAACTCTGTCTAATAAGTTCATGGGCGATGTTGATGCTCTGGATGCACTGGTTACTTATTGTTAGATCTATATAAGGTCCCGAAAAAACTAGCAATATTTTCCGTTTTGTCGACACGGTACCAGTCAACAGCTGGTTACTCTATCGACGTGATTGCGACTCAATGGCTGTGCCTCTAAAGAAACAGAAAGACGCTTGCTTTCAGATTATCAATTACAGAGGCACTCCTCATGCAAGACGAGGAAATGTCGAGGAGGAAGAGGGGATGGTCTTCATCATCAATTGAAACGGGGTTCAAAGTAACGAAACGCCGGGGTCAAGGTAGGGCTATTCCATGCAGTCAGATTCTATGGGTCATTGGCCAGTGGTTGGGTGGGGCACTGCAACGATGCAAACGCCTAAATTGTCAGGGTCACTGTCGATCAAGTGGACAAAGTGCAATGCGCACCTTAGCCTCAGCAAGTAGAAGTAAGGGGCGTACAAACTGTTTGCGTCCACATAATTTGTACGCCTCTTACTTCTACCGTGGCCTACGTATGGCGTCCCATTAATTGATTTATGTCCGTTAATCGTTGTTTAAGATGAGTTGCTCTTGTAGACAATCTTCTGCCTTCAATGACTTCGTGATTTACCAATTCGTTTTCATTGGAATCAAACTATATAATTAATAGGGGTAACCCTATCCGGCATACTTAATATGCAATAGTCAGCAAAAGAAAAACTGCATTAGGGAAATTCATGAGAAACACTGTTTCTCCTTATTTGACTTTGCCTGATTGTTACCAGATTTGTTGTGATTTGGATAGATGACAGAAAGCATTGACCGATTGCCGCACCAATAAAACAATTATACGATTGAGCCGGGAAATTTGCTCAGTAGCTATTTGGCCCATTTGTGCCGGATGTCACGATTTTGCATCATACCTAAATGTATAGCTAGATGTTACACGGTCAAATCAACTATCTCCACCCGCATTCGCATGTTAGTGAAATCACAAATAATTACCTTTTAAACGTGGTAAAAAAACAAATTCGACTACAAGGGGTTAATTGCAGACATATTCGACCAGAAAAAACTAACTACATGTCAAAATAGCAGGAGAAAAGGACTTTCAGTTTAGTTTAGTTTAGCTGAACAATTATGATCCGAGCATTGTGGTGCGGTTGATCCAGTTGTCACGACTCACACCGTAAGAATAACATTAAATAACAACGGTAGTGCAGTGGGTTTGGGTGCGAATAGGACGTAGAGAAAATAATGCAAGAAGGAAATTCGTTAGACTAACTAGAATGGGGGAAATTAGCAACCAGATGAAAGAAACCGAAAGCAGAAACGCCATTGACTGCGTGAATGAACCATGTCTGATCCGCTCTCCAACCAGTAGAGTGGGCCGTCCCGAGGCACCCATTCACGAAGACGGCACCCAACAGCCTGATTGTTTCTCCGTCAATTTCTTCATGCCTCGATGCCACGTCATGGGTTGGCCGTCTCAAGGTTTCGCCCAACTTGGTGCTGCCACGGCGTAAAGTGTACGCTGAGGAAGATGATCAACGGGCATACGGAGAACATGGTCTAGCCAACGCAAGCGACTAGGATTTGGAAAATAAGAATGATGCAGCAGAAGGCTTTTGCCAGAAACCAACTGGCGGACCTCAGCATTGCTCAGCCGGTGTTCCCACAAATGTGAGCAATACTCCGCAAGCACCAGTGGTCAAACACGCCCACCGTTTAACGTATTCGCCGCGAACTGGCCAGGTGTCTGATCGATACAGTAACACAGGCCTTATCGCAGCGTTGTACACCCTACCTTCCACTGACAAGCTGATATCCCGCCGTCTCCATAGATGGTTGAGCTTCTGGAAAGCCACACATGCTTTGCTGTTATGGGAAGTAACTACTACAATGATGTGATTACCAGAGGTAACACAGCTACCAAGGCAAGTGAACCGATCCAGCACTTCTAGTGGCAGTTGGTTAATACGGATTTTCAGCGGTTCTCCGAGCTCGGAGAACCGCTGAAAATCCGCATCAACACCCCGAGTTGGTTAATAGCTAGCACAGATGTGTCGGTCCAATCCTGCAACAGCACTTTGCATATTGAAGGTGTAAAGCACGTGCCAAAAAGTGCAGCGCTACGCGTGAGTTTGAATAACCAATGTATCAGACTCAAGGAGAACTATGTCGTCCGCATACTCCAGATGTGTTAGTCGGTCACCTGGCATAAATTCCACTCTGGCAGAGTCTGAAAGAACTGAGTCACTCAGGAGCATTTCGATAAAAATAAGAGATAAAGGGCGACCCTGGGGAATCTCACTTGTCATGGGGAACTCAGGAGACGATTTCCCGTAGACTCATGCACGGCTTCCGGAGTTACGGTACACGGACTGTATAATGGAAAGCAATTTAGCTGATGCGCCGTTCATGTATAGACATTGCCACAAGCTGTCTCGATCGACAGAGTCGAATGTAGCTTTCAAGTCAGGGAAAACCACCATAGCTGGTCGTCTGCATGTGTGTCGATTCTCTAAAACTCGAAGAAGAGTAAATAGGTGGTCGATACAACCACGACCAGAGCGAAAGCCAGCCTAGATTTCAGTGATTCCGTTCTCACGTCAAAAAATGATATCCGTAAGAAGTTTTGTGGCAACAGAAATAAGGCTAGTGTCTCGATGATTTTCGCATAAAGTACGCAGACCCATCAAAGTTGAATTTGAAAAACCCGCTGTGTGGTTGGGTTGCGACGCGTAACCTCTATTGAGACCTCGGTTCACTTTGAGGTAAACGGTCATTCAGATCGTGAGGACAGTACCCGAAATGGAAATATTTGGGTGTTGCTTCTCCCAAAACTGGCACACCATGACCGCGGTTTCGTCCTGGTTTGGACTCATCAGGTGGCGATAGCCTGAGCTGGGGTGGAATTCGGAGGTTGCGTGTCACAACCCAACCACACAGGGAGTTCCCCAAATTCAACTTTGAATTCCTTTCCGCTGTGCCAAGCGTTGAAGTAGGACGTTAGTTCCTTCAAAAGCTACTTCTGTCTCTGGTCACCCATTTAGAATAACGTCTCGCAAAGCGGAAAGCGTTGCATTTTCTTCTGTGTGGCGCCTTATTTCCTTTAGGCGATCTTTTGTCACTGCCAGATGTTGTACTAAGGTTACTGCTTCGATCTCTTTCGGATTATGTTTGGGTACCGGTAGATGATATCTTAACAGCGTATCCGCGATGCACGTCTGTGCATCAGGCGTATAAACAATATCTACGTCGTGCTTTTGAAGACGGATAAACATACGCTGAAGGCGACGAGGAACGATGTGCAACGGTTTCCTGGCTATTGACATACGCGATTTGTGGTCGGTATACAACGTTGAGGAAGAAGTAACCGAAAACAATTGTTCGCTTAAAGCTTCGTGTTTTGTTTATCTTTCTCCGGAAGGTTTTATCATTGAAACGCTTCATGCCATAGACTACCGCAAGCATATCCTTCTCCAATCTGCGCATAGCACTGCTCAATCACATTGAGTGCTCGACTGCAGAAATCCAATGTTTTCAATTCTGTAATAGAACAGCACCTATTCCGTCTTGGCTACTGTCACACTGTACCTCCAAAAGCTGCGCTGGATCGTAATACCCGAGTACAGGCGTGACAGTTGGACGAGAAAGCTGAGAGCCGACGCTCACGCGTTTACCACCAAGCGTGCTTGGGAAGGACTCTACGAGCGTGTTACCAGGGTCCAGCCG